CTCTCCCTCTCTCTCTCTCTCTCTCTCTCTCTCTCTCTCTCTCTCTCTCTCTCATATCAAGGATCAAACCTGGGACCTCAGGGGCAGCACCACTAAATTAAATCCCTGGCTCTGTTTCTGTTTTATTTTGTTCTTTCGTTTACTTCTACTTTGTGTTCCTCATGTAAGAGAAACCATGTGTTACTTAAGTTTGTGCGTCTGATTTATTTTACTTAACACTGCAGTCTCAAGGTACGTCCATTTCCCCAAAAGTGACTGAAAGCTCCAGTTTTAATTTCCGTAGTGAACACATTTACACATCTTAGCAAAACCGAAGACAGATGATCATATTGACGGCCAGGGTCCATGCATCCATCATGTCCAGTTATTTTATAGAAAAATAAAATTTAGAAATCAGGTTCCCGCCCAGCACCCGAGCTGTTTGTCACACCCAGGGATTATCAAACTGTGTATCTGCCATGATCTTTGTGCTTTTCACATAATCTGAAGGAAAAGGATCACTGCCACGGCAGATGAGACAAAGGTGTCTAGCTGCACGAAGTGTGAGATTTTGCAACCATGGCCACAAATCTGGGTCAGCACTATTTACAGAGAGCACATGGTGTTTTGTTTCAATGAGCAGGAAAATAGTTTGCGATTAAATACGGTAAAAGCTTGTCATTTTTTCCAACTAAGCAGGAAAAGGAATTACTCAATGTGAAATGATAAATAAGTCCAGTGAGTCATCTTCAATGCAGGGAAAAAGTGCAGCTGGGACAGAAACTGTGCTTTCCTGCGTGGTAAAAATAAAATCAAATGCACTGAAATGGAAATCAGTAAGAGTGCATCTTAGGACCACAGACAACTACGGGGCTCCAGGGAGTTTCATGTGATTTGGGCTTTTCAAAGAAATCCGCTGAAGCTGTGACGAAAGCAGTGTAAAGGCGATGTTGATTTTTTAAAGTTAGGCTTTATTAAAGCATCACCAGCATACAGGGAAATCCACTCTCTCTTGTATGCACTCTGTGAATTTTGACAGACCTATTTTATCATGTAGCCCCCCCCATCCCTCACACTCCCTCCAACCCATCCCGGGGCAACCACTAATTATATTTTCTGTTTCCATATTTCTGCCTTTTGCAAAATGTCACATAAGTGAAATCATCCAGGACTCAGTCTTTGGACTGTGGCTCAAATATTCACCTGTAGGTTTGGTGTGAACATAACTCTTCAACCTCTGACTCATCACCCCAGAGAGCCCTTGCTGGGAACTCAGAAGCTGCTTTTGCTGCCCATAAAAAACTGCCAAAGAGAGGCTGAACAAGCTCACCCTCCCACAGCTGCCTGGGAGTGATTTGGATTTGAATTTCCAGGTAAATGTCAGTATTAAACTGCTGCAACTCTCCAAGGGAGCAGGATTAAAATGTATGCATCATTAAATATGGTCTATTCTTGAAATGCTCTAGTTAACAACACACCCTACGCAGGCTAATGGGGAAGACCTTACTCTTTCCCCCAGAAATTTTAGCATCAGACAACACTGGAGTAATGATGCTTATGAAGTTCTAGGAGAGAAAAGGAATCCATAGATGTGCAGCCAATGTTTCAAGCATACATTCTCACAGGCAAGAGCACTCTGAGACTGGGTATCAGCCCTCAGGAGTGTGGAGGGGAAACAACGAAGCAAAGAGAGAAAAACAGTTTTAAGGAAACCCAGACATCCATAAACAAATCAAAGTGAAGAATGAACACTGGGTATGGTGGCGTATGCCTGTAACCCCAGTACACTGGAGGCTGAGGCAGGAGTCTTCTCTTATGGCTCGTACCTTGATGTCCCTCCTAAGCCTCATACATTCATAGGTGGGGCTTTTGGAAGGTAGCTGGATTATGGATGAGTGCTGCTGGGATGAAGGGTGTGAGATAACTAAATCAGTCCACTGACTGGTTTAGCATAGTTATGGGTAATGGATAATGGGAAGGCCCACCCTGGTTATGGGTGGCACCACCCAAAAGGCTTGTAGCCTGGATGGGATAAAAGGGAAAGGAAGGCTCACTGCTATTGTTTCTGCTGTTGCTGCTTTGCTGCCTCCTGTCTACCTTGCCATGAACTGTTTCTTCTCTGCCATGCCTCTCTGCCATACCACCCTGCCTTGGAGCCAGCCAACGGTGGACTGAAACCTCTACAAACTGTGAGCCAAAATAAACCTTTCCTCCTTTAACTTCTTTTCTGCACCAGGGACAGAACTCAGGACCTTGCACTTGTGAGGCAGGTGTGGTACCACTGAGCTAAATCTCCAGTCCCCCTCCTTTAACTTTGAGTGTTGGGTATTTTGTATTGGCAATGAGAAAAGCAACTGAGACAGATCCCAAATTTGAGCCCACCCTAGACAATTTAGTAAGACCCTGTTTCAAAATAAAAAATAAAAAATAGGTGTGGGATGTAAAAGTGTAAAATCCCTGGGTTCAATCCCCAGTAACAGAATGGAATGGGAAAACTGTGTTACATCTACATCTATAGACTTAAAACCAAAAAACTGGGGGTGAATAACTGTAATTCTTATGTATATTTAAATCTTGAAAAGTAACAGTAGCAGAGCAACATAGCTCATCCCTAGATCAGGGAAGATTGGTTAAAAAATCAGAATCAGTTTGTTGTCCATACTCAGTCAATAGTAGCCTAAATTGTTTATATTAAAAATATGGTATCAGCTTTGAAATGAAAATCATTAAGAGGTTTAAATCATTTTTAACACATATATAATATTATACATATCTTAAACTTCAGAAGAAAGTTAGGTACATATATTTCTGTATACTGAGCAATCTCTTCAGTTTTAATTCACTTCTTTTTTCTTCTGTTAAATTCAAGGAAAATTAAAGCAATACTTTTTATTAAATGTTATCAAATATAATCTGAGCCTCTTTTAAGTAAAAGTCTCTCACTTTCCTTAACTACACAGAGAGGTTGAACTGGTGTAGCTCTGTGGAACAGTGCTTAGCTAGCATGTGCAAGGTTGGGTTCCATTCTCAGCACCCCAAAAATACACAACAACTACTTAAAGGGCAGTTTGAAGCTTTGCCAGGGTTAAACATGGCTTATTCCTGGGTGGTAGAATTTTGAGTGATATGTTACTTTCTTTGTGCATTTCCACAAATCTACAATATTTTTTGGTATCCCTCTTTCTCTCCCTCCTTTCTTCCTCTTCCTCCTTCTCCTCCTCGTCTTCTCTTTTCTGGTACTGGGGATTAAACCTATGAGTCCTCTATCACTAGGCTACACCTCTAGCCCTCTTTAAATTTTATTTTGAGACTTGATCTTGCTAAGTTGTCCAGGCTGACCTCGAATTTGCAATCCTGCCTCAGCTTCCCAAGTAACTGGGATCACTAGCCTCTGCCACCAGACCTGGCTGCAAATTCTTAATAATGTTCTCATATCCCTTTTATTAAATCAGCACAGACTTTTCAAAGTGTAAGTAGCCCTCAGATGCATTTGTAAAGATCCATTAAACATGAGTGTGTATATGTAGGCTCCCAGGAGAGAGAAACAGGCCCCCTGCATGTGGGGTAAGCCATTAGGGCACTACCACTGTGGAGCTGAGTTTGGGGTTCCCTGGTTGGGGGTTCACCTGTACTGCACCCTGCATCCCAAATGCCAGGCTCACCATGCCTCAGACTCCATTGACCTGACTTCCCTTCCCTGCACTCCCACAACCCTACAAAGACGTTACCATGGCTGCACCCTTCACCGACTCAGCAGCAGGCTGAAGGTGGGAGAGGCTGTTAGTGCTTGTCCGAAGGGCTGAGGACAGCACTGTGTTCCTCTTATCTGTGAGTCCCTCCCCTGCTCTCCAACCTGTCTGGCTGGGCACTGGCCCTAGCCCTCTCAGATACTAATCCTAGGGATGTGCACCAGGGGGAGTTGAGGAGGGAGAGCCAGGCCTGTCTCTAGGAGGTCTTCTGTGCTGTCCTCCATGGCCCTGTCTCTTGCCACATCTTGCCCCTGCCATGTGGCGACTGGACAGGGCTGTGACTGGGAATGATGATTGTGGATCACAGTTTCTATCTGTGGTTGCAAACTAGTGGCCCAAAGAACCCCGTATCTGCATTGGCCAGGCTGTGCTTAAATTTGGGATCCTCCTATCTCAGGCCCCCAGAATGTTGGGATTACAGGCGTGTGCCACATGCCCTGCTCAAAATTCCTAACTTTTAATAACTTTTCTTTTTTTTTTTTTGAGACAGAGTCTCATTATGTTGTTCGGGCTGGCCTCAAACTTGTAGTGATTCTCCTGTCTCAGCCTCCTGAAAACTGGGATTACAGGTGTGTTCCACCACACCTGGCAATGTTAATTTTTTTTTTTTTTTTTTTTTTTTTTTTTTTTTTCGGTGCGATTTTTTTTGGTACCGGGGATCCAACTGAGGTCCTTGTGCTTGCAAGGCAGGCACTGAGCTAAATCCCTGGCCCCTAATGTTAATTATTTTAAATTTAAATTTAAAAGGTGATGTTCCCTTCAGTTATTTGAAAACAGCATGCTTGGGATCACTCGGCTGTGAACATGTGTTTTGTAATCAGACATTTTATGAAATCCAAATCCGGAACAAGAATGTCTTATGACAATTTCTCTTTCAGAGTAAAACATGACACAAATGTAAAATCCAATAGGTTTCAAAGGTTTAGTCTGAAAAAAAGATGAAATACTCCATCAATATTTCTTGTGTTGATGGTATATTGAAATGATAATGTTTTGGGTATGCCGGGTGAAATGATACATTGTTAAAAACAACTTCAGAGCTGGAATCCTACAGGAGTAGTCGGCAATTCCAGATTCCGGCCGCCAGAGGTAGCTACACGGTTTGCCGTCTTTGCTACGCAATTTGTTGCCCGGAAGTAGTTCCAGGCCCCGCCCCTTGGAGGCCGTGAGCGAGGTGACTTCCGGCAGCGCGGACTTTGGGTCGCGGTGTACCGGATTCAGGGCTGCGTAGCGGCAAGATGACCACGCTGCGGGCGTTCACCTGTGACGACCTCTTCCGCTTCAACAACATGTGAGTGCGGCGCGCCCTAGCCAGCCAAGCCCCTCTCCTCCGGGCCGGAGCCCCGGGGCGCTCCCGTGCCGGACGGAAGCTGGCGGGGAGCGGGCGCCTGTTTGTTCCCCGCTCCCGGATCGGGTCCCGCTTCAAGCAGCGCTGTGAGCAGAGCCCCGGTTCAGAGCAGGCCGGTGACTTCCAGACTTTTTTAATAAAAGAAATTCTTACGGAAATGTCTAAGCATTCAAAGAGTTGAGACAATTTCATCGCGAGCTCCTGTGGACAGCATTTGGATCGTGCGCGTGCCGTTTTGCCAGGGTGGCTTTGTCGCACTTCTGTCCGTCTGTGGAGCCTGGGCCCACTGTGTGCAAAGGACCAGGCGGTTCCCATTCAGAGTCGGGAGGGTGAACAGGGCTTTGAGCTGAGACCTGGGACGGCTCACAGAGGGAGTGACCCGCGGTGGAAACTGAGCGGGAAAGAGGACGTAGGTCTTGGGACCTGTGATAGGGCACTGGGCACCCGAGCATGTGAAGTGATGGTTTCAGTAACTGAGCAGCCAGAAAAACAGCTGAAGCCGGGCTTTGGCTCTGTGCTGAGGGAGATCTATGGGAAACAGTTTCTGTTAGGCCTGTCTTGTGTTACTTCTCACGCCACCTGCACCTGCCCCGAGTGCCCCTGAGTCCATTTGATCCTCACAGTTCTGTGACGTGCTCGCCCCTTCTTCCTTTAGATGAAGTAGGGAGTACACATCCCGGTGACTTGCTGCAAGTGATGGAGCCCCGGACAAGGAATCTTATCCAAGGAAATTGGCTGACTGCGCTGGTTCTTAAAAAGTTGGTCCCTGACCACGGAATATTTTGGAATTGCAGATTCTTAGCTATTTGGAAGCCACTGCTCTGACGCTGTAAGACCCTTTGGTATCCTTGGGGATTGGTTCTAGGACCCACCGTGGATACATAAATCCAGTGGTGTACCAAGTCCCTTATTTACAGTAGCGTCTTATTTTAATTTAACCTTAGACACCTCTTGTTACTTTCAGTCACCTCTTGGTTACTTAGAATGCCTGTACGTAGTTACTGTGTCGTTCAGGAAATGATGCCAAGCAAAGAGTTTGTACGTGTAAAGACGGAGGTGCAGAATACACGGGTTCAGAGGACCAGCGAACTTAACCAGCCTGTAGGGTGTGAGGTGATTTGAGGAGTAAACCACACTTTCTTGCTCCCTTTCTTGGGTCATTTTGTAGGAAACTGAGAATCCTTTGGGTTAGGAATTGAAAGCAGCAATGGGCGTAGACCACTGCAATGAATTTAATGTCGGTTTTATTTTTGGAGAAATGTTTGAGTGCCTGCTGTGTGCCAGTGCTTGAGATAAAGTAGTTGATCAGAAAGAAATGGTTGTCTTGGGAATTTACATTTTAGAGAGGAAACAAGTAGAACTGGTAGAACCAAGTAGAAGATGTAGACCTTAGCGTTTAGGGAAGGGAGAACGGAGTGGGTGGGATTTAGCTGTAGATCTGGTGTTCAGGGCAGGTGTCCCTGAAGAGGGGAGGCAGGAAGTGTGTGGATACCTGCTGGGGTAAAGGGAAAGTACAGGAGCAAAAGGCACCAGGTCTTGGCCTCTGGTGGCCATTCTAGGATCTGGGCTCCTGTGCTACATGTCTGGGCCAGGGGTTTCAGGTTAGGTGTGTACTAAAGGGGACTCTGAGGATTGACATTGTGTAGAGATGATGACAGGCGACATCAGTGATGGAATGAGTGTAGAAGGTTCTAGGATACCCCCAGGGGCACCAAGGACCACAGTAAAGGAGACAGACCCTCTGAGGCAGGAGGAAGACCCACAGGTGGGGGGGTCTCAGCAGCCAGGAAGAGAGCGTTTCAGGCAGAAGGGGAACAGTGTGGAGAGCTGTTGATGGCTACTGTGTATCGCAGCTGGATATTTCTTCCAGGAAAGAGACAGAAACTGAGGGTGTGGGTGCAGAAAGCTCACAGGAGCAGGATCCTGCATGGTGACACACTGCACGAGTAGTGACAGATGAGCAGCAGCACCTTGGTACAGAGGCTCTGCCAGGTGGGTCAGTATGGGACTTGGGTGGCACCTTCTTTCTGTTGTATGTGCTGTGATGAAACAGAAAACATGTGAAACACAAGGGCAGACTGTGGGTGAGGCCAGGTGAGACAGGCTTTAAAGTGGTGGAGAGGATGGGAGAGGACCAACTGTCCTGGTGGGCCAGGCTCTTTGGACTCACATGATCGCTCTGGAGGTGTGTAAGGGCAAACTGTTTTCATAATGCCAAGGTGCTCTGCCTTCCATCTCATCCTCTCACAAGTGGACAACCAAGTTTTCCAGATGTGTGATCTTTGAACAGCAGGCAAAACAAATATGGGAGAATAAACAAATGTGTGGTAATTTTTTAGTGTAAAGGGGGTTTTGAAATCAAAAAGGTTGAGAACTGTTGGACTAGAGAAATGTTTTCTGGCCGTTAGGCATCGTAGGGGTCCCCGGAGAAGAATTTGACAAGAATGGGAAGGAGAAAGTCGAGGGTAGCTGCTTTTGAGCCTGGTAAAATTGTGCTTCCATTGAGTAAGAGGAAAGAGGGGCCAGAATAGGCTGGGACAGAGGAGATGAGTTTCAGAAATGTGGATTTGGGGTGGTCCAGGGCCAGGTAAGGGACCTCCACCAGGAATGCACAGTGGAGAGTATAGGGAGGAGCCTTGTGGGAATGTGGGGGTTGAGAAGCAAAGCCAAGGGGTAGGAGTCCCCACAGTTAGAAGGTGGAAAAGAGAAGAAATGCTTGTATAGGATGGGCGGCACATGAGTGTGACCTTCTGTCTGTCTGTGTGAGACTGTTATCTACTTGGTCTCCATTTCTGCTACCAGTTTATTGCTATGGAAGGTTCTGATGTACTTTATTAACTGTAAAATGATTTGTAAAGAAGCACTTAAAGGAAAATGTGTAGACACCATTGTAGTTGCTGTGACAGCTCATTGTGGCTGCCACATAGCTGAAACCATCTTCCTTGGGTCCCACACTGGGTTTAAAGCTGTGGATGAAGCACATTTTGTTCCCTTCCAGCACATTATTTTTAGCCAGCTTATTTAAACTGGTTTTTGTGAACACTGCTTACTATTGACTTTTCTTTTTTTTTTTTTTCCAGTAACTTGGATCCACTTACAGAAACTGTATCCTTTTTTTCAAAAACATTAAAGAAGAAAGTGGAGAAACAAAAGGAAAAAGCATCTTGATTACAGAAAAATCTGAAAACTTTTAGATGAGAAACAACATAAGCAACATTGAGTGTTTACTTTTACAATGAGAATTGTGCTATACTACTTGACAGGCTGGTCATACAGCACTCCTCAAAGGTCAGCCAAATCGAAGTCCACCCACCTCGCCCTCTGGCCAAGTGTGCTGTATATGGAGGGAAGCACAGTGGTTACAGTAGGGCAGTTTATTTCCCAAATTAAGTGTGCAGGGTTAGGGTGTTCTCACTTGCACTGTAATAACAGATAATCGCCACATCATCTGTGGCCCCAAATTGGATTTCTGGACTGTGCTTCATGTTCTTTGCAGATGAGTGGAGGCTTCTAGGAACTGATAATTTCCCAAAAAGAGAGCATGGTGAAGGCTGGTGAACATATTAAGAGTTCATAAGAGCTTAGTCTCCCCAGTCAGAAGGCATCTGGACCAGCTAGGTGTGATGGCACGCCGGTGATCTCAGTACTTTGGGAGGCTGAGGCAGGAAGACTGAAAGCTTGAGCCTACCTAGGCAACTTAGCAAGACTGTGACTGATAATGGCGAGGAGCTGGGGATTTATCTCAGTGCCACAACCTGGGTTCAACTCCTAGTAAGTCGGGGAGGGAAATGGGCAGACGAACACCAAAATGACAAGCCATGTTAACATGTCAGACCATCCAGAAATGAAAAAACAAATGGGCCGGTGCTGGTGCTGGTGAGGTAAGGCACCTTCTAAATGAGTGGCAATATCAGCTGGTATGCTGTTTCTGGAAGGTACTTGGGAAGGGTAATAGTAATTCTAGTTATTGAAAACTAAAAATAACAGTAGATGTAGTTTATGTAAGAGATTAGCAAACTAAGGTCCATAGGCTGAATATATAGCCCACTACTTGTTTTGTATTTACATTTTATTGAGGTAAATTTATGCTGATACAGTTATACATTGTATGCAGCTTTCAGGGTTTGAGCAGATGTCCCAAGACCCATGTATATCCAAAAGCCTGGGACAGGCGCACTCTGACCTTTTGCAGAAAAAGTTTGCTATCCTTATATCATTACACAGTTATCCCGGGAGAATTAAAATTTTGGAATAACGTTACAACAGTAAGGAGATACTTAAATAAATTTGTATTCATGAAGGACTTAAAAAGTTAGTTGAGGGCTGGGAGTATAGCTCAGTGAAAGAGCACTTGCCTAGCACTGTGAGGCTCTGGGTTTCATCCGAAGTTCATCAGAACATTAAAAAAAATTTTTTTTTTCTTCTTTTTTTGAGGCAAAGTCTCCCTTCGTAGTTCAGGCTAGACCTGAACTCGCTATGTAGCCCCAGGCTGGCCTCAAACTTCCAAATGCTGGGATTACAGGTATGTGCAACCACACCTGGCTAAAGTTCTTTATATATTCTGGATAGTAGTCCTTTGAGGAACAGCTGATAACCACTGCAGAGGAGCACTGGCTTCATTGTGCAGTATGTATTTGAAAATAAGCTGTTGATCCTGGTGGTTGATCTGTGTGTCGGGCTGAATGGCAGAAGACTGGCTGGCCTACCCTAGTCAGGGTTGTGGTGGAAGAACTCCCAAAGTCATGACTGTCCTGCAGAGGAGTGTGAGGACCTCAACACTGGGAAGCTTTTCCTAGAACTTAAGTCTTTTTTTTTTGGTACCTGGGATCAAACTTGGGATCTTGCACTTTCAAGGCAGGCCCCCAAACCACTGAGCTAAATCCCCAGCCTGGAACTTACTCTTTATTTTCCCAGTTTATTGATACATTTTAGGTATAGGATACGGTTACATTCATCATTAGGATCTTATACCTTTATATGATGTGTCTTGTGGTTATTTTTTCTCCATTCCCCTGCCCTCCCTTCAACCGCCAACCCTTTCCTATTTACAAAGACTTTGTTTCCAGTTTTTCCTTGTCTCTTTTTTCTTTTCCCTTTCCTTTCCCCTACCCTTCCCACTTCCCCTACCTCTTTAGACCTTTACTGTTTCACATTATCAGTTACACATTTTGATCCTTATTTGCACTTTTAGTTTTTCACACCTGACAAACTTTGGTATTTACACGTGTGTCCTTTTTATTTCACTTAAGAGTATGGCCTCAATGTGCATCCATTTAACTATAATGTTACTAGTTTCTCATTCTTTATGGCTGGGTAGTATTCTATTTTATTAAAAAAAAAAAACACACATCTTTATCCAGTCTCCAGTTGATGGGCAATTGGGCTGTTTCTAAGTTTTAGCTATTACAAACTGTGCTACTATAAACATGGGTGTGCATATATTGCTGTGGTATGATTATTTTAATTAGTTTGGGAAGATACCCAGCAGAGGAATCGCTGAATCAAATGGGACCTCTAATCCTATTTTGAGGTATCTCCATACTGATTTCCACAGTGGTTGCACCAGTCTCAACTCCCATCAACAAAGAAGAAGGGTTCCTTTCTCCCCACAATCCTGCCAGCATTTGTTATTGGTTCATTTCTTGATAGCAGCCATTCTTTCTGGGGTGAGTTGGAATTTCAGTGTTGTTTTCATCTGTGTGTCTTGAATGAACAGGGATGTTGAACATTTTTTCACATTTGTTTGCTACTGTTACTTCTTTGTGAAATGTCTGTTCATTTCAGAAGCCCATTTTTGAATTGGGTCTTTATCTTTGGGTCCGATTTTTTAAAGTTCTTTACATATTCTAGAGATGATAAAATTTTTTTCCAACATTGTAGGTTGTCTCACAGCTTTATTGTTGGTTTCTCTTGCAGTACAGAAGCTTTTTATATTTATTTTTATTTTGGTACCGGGGATTGAACTTGGGTCCTTATGCTTGCAAAGCAGGCTAAATCCCAGCCCCTGCAGAAGCTTTTTAATAAGATGAGATCCCAGTTGTTGATTCTTTGTGCTAGCTCTTGTATTCCTGAGGATTTGTTCATAAAGTCTTTTCCTATGCCAATGTCTTTGAGCGTTCTACCCAACTTATCTTTCAGCAAGTTTAGTGTTTCTGTTTTAATATTTAGATCGTTAATCCACTTGGATTTTAGTTTAGTGCATGGTGAAAGACAGACATCTAGTTTTAATCTTTGGCAGGTTGAAATCCAGTTTTTCCAACACCATTTAGTAAAGAGCATTGTCTTTTGTTTGGCTCCTTTGTCAAGGATGAGGTAGCTGAGTATGTCTGGAGTTGTTTCTGTATCTTCTAATCTATTCCACTGATCCTCGGGTCTGATTCTTTGCTAGTACCATGCTGTTTTTATCACAGTGGCTTTGTAGTGTGGTGTCAAGTCAGGGATTGTGATAGCCCCTGCCATCTCTCTATTGCCTAGAATTGCTTTTGCTATTGTAGATCTCTTCTGGTTCAAAATGAGTATTTGGGTTGTTTCTTTCTAGTTCTGTGAAACATACTTACTGTTGGGATTTCAGTAGAGATTTCATTGAATCTATATAGCAGTTTTGGAAGTATGGCCATTTTCACTATATTGGTACTTCCTACCCAAAAACAAGGGATGTCTTTCCATTTTTTTATATCCTCTTTGATCTCATTTTTCAGAGTGTTGTAGTTCTCAATGTAGAGGTCTTTTGCTTCCTTCATTAGATTGATTCCTAGATATTTCATTTTTTTTTTTTGGATGCTACTGTGAAAGGAATTGTTTCCCTAATTTCTCTCTCAGTGAGTCTGTTGTGTACAAGAAGGCTAATGATTTTTGGGTGTTAACCTTGTATCCAGCTACTCTCCTGAATGTGTCAATTAAGTCAAGAAGTCTTTTGGCAGAGTTTTTGGGGTCTTCTATATAGACTACCATATTGTCAGCAAATAATGACAATTTAACTTCTTCTTTTTCTGTCTTTATTGCTTTTATTTCTTTCTTTTGTCTAATGTTTCCAAAATTATATTGAACAGGAGTGGTGATAGTGGACATCTTTGTCTTGTTCCTGATTATAACATGAAGGTTTTCAGATTTTGACCATTTAGTATGATGTTGGCTATTGGTTTTTCATTGATAGCCTTTATCAAATTGAGATAAAGACTATCTACTCCTATTTTCTGTAGGGTTTTTATCATGAATGGGTGTTAAATTTTATCAAATGTTTTTCCTGCATCTGTTGAGATGATCATACGGTTTTTGTCCTTGGCTCTGTTAATATAGTGTATTACATTTATTGATTTACCTTTGTTGAACCATCCTTGCATCCCTAGGATAAATTCAACTTGGTCAGGGTGTCTGATCTTTTTGATGACCCTCTGTATTCTGTTTGCCAGTATTTTATTGAGGATTTTTCCATCTATGTTCATTAGGAAGATTGGCCTGTACTTCTCTTTTTTGGTTGCGTCTTTCCTTGGTTTTAGAATCAAAGTAACACTTTCTTCCAGGAATGAATTTGGAAGTATTGCTTTCCTTTCAATTTCATGGAAGTGTTTAAAGAGTAGTGGCAATAGTTCTTCTCTAAATGTCTTGTAGAATTCAGCAGTGAAGCCATCAGGACCTGGGCTTTTCTTTGTTGGTAAATTTTTAATTACATTTTGTTTCACTGATTGTAATTGGGGTGTTTAGAGTTTTTATATCTTGGTTCAATTTTGGTAATTCATATATATCTAGGAATTTGTCCATTTCATCTGTGTTTTCAGTACAGGTTCTTGAAGTAGGTATTGATGATTCTCTGGATTCCTGCTTGATCTCTTGTGACTTCACCTTTTTCATTCCTAATTGCATGGATTTGAGCCTTTTCTTTCCTTTGATTAGATTGGCTAAAGGTTTATCGATTTGATCTGTTCTTTTGCATAATCCACTCTTTGGTTTTTTTTGTTTATTTTTGGCTTGTTCTCTTAAGTCTCCATTGCATTGATTTCTGCTGTGATCATTGTAATTTCCTCCCTTGTACAAGCATTGTTTGTCTTGTTCTTTTTGAAGGAGCTTGAGGTTCGGCATTAGGTTATTTGAGCTCGCTCTGTTTTCCTAGAGTGGGGATTCACTGCTGTGAATTTCCCTGGTAGAACAGCTTTCACTGTATCCCATAGATTCCTGTATCAATATGTACTGTCATTATCATTTAACTGTAGAAACTAAACTGTCTAATCTCTTCTTTAATTTCCTGTGACCCATTGGTTTTTCAGGAGAGTGTTATTCCATTTCCATGTTATTTGTGGAAATGCAGTTTCTTATGCTATTGATCTCTAGTTTAATTTCACTATGGTCTGATAATATACAGGGAATAACTTCAATTCCTTCACATTTGCTTAAATACATTCTTATGAGGTAGCATGTGGTTTTTGAGAATGACCTGTGTGCAGCTGAAAAGAAAGTTTATTCTGATTTTGTGGGGTGGAACACTGTAGACATTTATGAAATCCATTTGTTCAAAAGCTTGGTTCAGTTCTAGTATTTTGTTATTGATGTTTTGTCTAGATAATCTGTCTGTGACAGTGGAGTATTGAGGTCCTCAACTACAATTGTATTAGTGCTTTTTTTGTTTTTCCTGTCCATTAATATTTGTATAGTTGGGTGCATTAGTATTTGGTGTATATATGATTGTCATCTCTTCATCTTGCATTGTAGAACTTAAGTCTTTTTATGTGATTGATCGCAATCTCTCCTGAAACTGTACCAGAGAACTTACACTGAGAGGGAATAAGCGAACGGGTACCTAGCAGTGAGGACGATCCGGGGTGGAAGAGTTAAAAGATAAGTATATTATTCAGGCAGTTACTCTTAATACCTGAGTCCTGAAGTTAGTTTTTATCTGCAGCATTAGAATCAGTGGAGAAAACTTGGTAATTGTTCAGTTGCCTTTGGAAGGACTTAGGTTATAAAGTTACTTTCACAGCCTCATAGCTGAAACTTAAGTAGGAACCCGCCATTATTTTTCAGCACAGTTGTGGAAGCATGAACATATCACTGCTTTGTGCTGAGCACTAGTGCACAGACCTTACACTCAGAATAGGGGGGAGGTAGATGGTGAACATGAGTCTTGGGTGCTGGGAGATGCTGCACAGAAACCATGTGCGGTATCAGGAGGGAGCAGATTGAAGAGCTTTGGGGTACTTACAACTACACAGTGCCATCTCCATCCCACAGTTGAAATGGTATGTCCAGGCAGTTTTGTTTAAAATCAGTGCCAACCTAAATATTTCACATGATATGACTATAGAAGTTGTGTGTGTATAGAACTAGGTCTAAAAAAACAATATGCTGGAGATTTTTGGTATTAGAGATTGCACCTATGGCTTGCACATGGTAGAAAAACATCCCACCAGTAAGCTACATTTCCAGCCCCTTTTTTTTTATTTTTGAGATGGGGGTCTAACTTGCCCAAGTTGGCCTTAAATCAAAGTCCTCTTGCCTCAGCCTCCTGAGTAGGTGGGATCACAGGTGTGTACCACCACAGTCAGCTTAATAAGCTTTCCCAGGGAAACTATTTCAAGATATCCATTTAATGAAGAACTTTTTACCATCTACTAATTTTCACACCTTAATGAACTGTAGTATGGGATTCCTTTTTACTTACAGTACCTCGCCCACTGGCCAGAGTATTTCATCGTTGCAGAGGCCCCTGGTGGAGAGTTAATGGGCTACAGTGAGTATTCCCCCACTGTACTGTTTTGGGTAGGAAGACAAGATTCTAACGTAGGGTTATTTTAGACTGTAGAATTAGAAGTATAAGCCTGATGCTGCTAAGTTTCTTTCCTTTCCTACCATACCGCAGCTTACTGATGTCTTTGTCTTTTAGACATTGTGGTAGACCTAAGGATGAGCAGTGAGTCAGACAATTGTGACATCAGTCTTCCCGATTTTTCAGTCTATATTTTTGTTACATTTCTGGATGATTTATTTGGTACACCATGTGAGGATTATAGCATCTTCATTGAATTAACATTATCAGCAAAACCTTGGCCTGTGAATTGTCTCAGTTATAGGTGCAGATCTGCACAAAATGTAGACACTGGAAAAAGTACAAATATAGGTTTAGAAATAGTTATATATTTAGTATGACATTAAAAAAAAATCCTTTCTTAAGTCTGATCCTAAAACTGGATGTGGCATTTCATTTGCAAATTAATTTTCGAGTAAAAGAACTAACTCTTGATGGCTGGCCCTGAGTAATACTGAAAATTAACAGTCCTTAGTTTTGTCATAGAAACGTCCCAAAGAGTGGCTCTGTGTTTCTGTGTAGTCAGTGTGTCTAACTTTGCTGTGCCTTTTTTTTGCTGGCAGTCATGGGCAAAGCAGAAGGCTCTGTTGCAAGGGAGGAATGGCATGGCCATGTTACAGCTCTGTCTGTTGCTCCTGAATTTCGGCGCCTTGGTTTGGCTGCTAAGCTCATGGAGTTACTGGAGGAGATTTCGGAGAGGTGAGATCTGCTTTTCAGCACACCCTGTGATCTGTGCACCCACCCTGCCCATTGTCTGCTGAGCATCTATAAGGTTCCCCTTCCGGCTGGGTGACTGTCCCAATTTTACACTTTGGGAACTTCATCTTCAGCCTATAGAAGACCTCACAGCTCTGTCACACCTGTCACTGCTCCTGCTTTGCTGTGAGGAAAATGGAAGCAATGTGTGTGCTGCTGCATTAGGACTATAGGCCAGGTAAGGTGGATTAGGCCTGTCTGCAGATTTTTTTTTGGTACTGGGGATCAAGGCAGGCCACTGAACCACTGAGCTAAATCCCCGGCTTTTTTTTTTTTTTTTTTTTGAGACAGGTTCTCACTATGTAGTTGAGACTGCCCTGGAACTCACTATGTAGCCCAGGCTGGTCTCGAACTCACAGCGATTCTCCTGCCTCAGCCGCCCGAGTGCTGGGATTAATGTCCAGCTGCAGGAGCTTCTATTAGTGCTTGAGCCACTGTGGTGGTAGCGGCAGCAGCGGCCCTGGCTTCTACTGACATCACCCAGGGTAACAAGCAGTAGGTTCACAGTATCCAGAGGACAAGAGAAAATAGTTCAGTTGTAAGCTTAATAAGTACAGTTTTTACAGCCTAAGTACTAGTAGCCATTAGAAAAAATACATTGAAACAAAATGTGCTTATTTCATTTTTCATTGTGGTGACACGTTAATGAGATGTATACACCTGTTAAGCATCGAATGACTTCTAGACTTTGGAAACAGTTTCTTGACCACCACCTGCCTTCTATGTCCTAGTGATACCCCTAGGGCACTCATTTGTGTGTTTTTTAATCACACCAACAGGCATATACTCAGCTTCATAAAAATATTATGTCATTGAAAAGGAATGTAGCATGATGTAGTGTTGAATTTGTTAACTGCTTTAACATTTACCAGTACCTGACAAGTAAAGTTTTGCTGTTTTTTCCCCTGAACATAGGATATATCCTATGGATCCGCTGAGTTGGGAGAACCTTAGTCCATAGTTTGGGAACTGCCACCATGTGACATTAAAATAAAAGAGAACAGACTAGGGATTTAGCTCAGTGGTACTGCTCGCCACCTGCCTCGCAAGTGCAAAGTCCTGAGTTTGATCCCCAGTACCAGAAAAAAAAGTAAATTAAAAAAATAAAAGACCTACACCCTTGTTATGAGATATATGGTTACCCAGTAATTAAAAAAAAGTCTTCTCCCATCTGTTTGGAAGAGACAGTGTGCATCTGACCATTGTCAAGGTGCCCTTTCCTTTCCCTCTCAAGTGTAAACCCTGACAGAGTGTTAGGAAAGAGGACGGTGGAGGAGAGGCTTCCAGGGCTTGATGTCCACATGGTGCATCAAGTAAGGGCATTTTAAACAAGTAATTGACAGACACTGAGCCCCGTGCATTGTGAGCCCATCAGGAGAGGAAAGGAATGGCATTAGCTGAAAAGGAAGTCAATTTTAGGCTTTATGATTTCTAAAGTTCTCCCTAGAGTGAATAAGGGAGGAAATTTTTTTAGTAAGATACAGCTTAAATACCTTATTAGTGACATCCTTGTTGTAAAAGGGTACCTGGCATTACTGTACAGAGGACAAGGAGATAGGAAATGGGTTCTGACTACTGTGACATTGCACATAGGATTTAATGTATTTGTGGATTTTCTCTTTTTGAGTAGAAAACCACTGTTTCCCAATTCCCTTTGAGATTCTGAAGCATCATCATTTGGAAACAGCTGCTAAGGTTTTTATTTTTGGTAATGGGCATCAAACTCTGGATCTTAGCTTGCAAGACAGGTGACAGAACCACTGAGCTAAATCCCCAGCCCACTGCTAAGGTTCTTAAGTTGTTTTACTTATATGAGTGTGTGTATAGAAACATACACACAGACATGCTTGTATGCATGTAAATAGTACATAATTTCCAGAGGACCCAGAAAAACAATGTTAAATACTAAAAGAAAAGAAAAGGGAAATTAAGCTGGTAAGACAAAAAGTATAAAATAAGGTAACTGTGAACCCAGATATTATCAGTAATTACAACACTAAATGTTAATGGACTAACAGCTCCTGTTAAGACAGTCACAACCGTAACCTGTTTGTAGGAAATATGTGTAAAAATTCAAGACAAAGGAGGCTTAGAAGAAAAATTTTGAATTGTCATCCAAAGCCTAGCCAAAGAAAGTTGGTGAACTTACAGTAATAATAGTCACTTTGTATTTGAATAATTATTACCAGAGTAAAGAAGGTCCTTGCATATAGATAAAGATTTAATACATCAAGAATTTGTAACAGTTAAAAATTTTATGTACCCACTGACTTACGTTCAAGGTAAAAAAATCTAAAACTTAAAAAGATGCAAGGAAAACAGACAAATTATGATAATGGGAGATTTGAACATACTTCTTTCTGCTAGAACAACCTAGCAGAAATTGGCCAAGGGTATAGAGCAAAAGTCAGCAAGCCTTTCCTGGGTCAAAGATTAAATATTTAGACTTTGCAGACCACCTAAGGTCTACTGTGTACTTCTTTTGTTCCTTTCTTTAAATCTTCAAAACCATAAAAACCACACTTAGCTTGAAGGCAATATAAGAACAAGTTGCAAGCCTTAAAAGGACTTCATTCAGTAGCCAGATCTCTTTATGTAAAGAAACAGCGCTTCTCTAGAAAATTTCAATGAATAGGAATAGGAAATAACTACTATAAGCTGTCTTTGTTACTTTCTCATTTTTGAGACAAAATACCCAATGCCCAAAGTTAAAAGAGGAAAGGTTTATTTGCCTCACAGTTTGTAGAAGTGTCAGTCCATAATCAGCTGGCTCCAAGGCAGGATGGCAGGGCAGACAGGCATCACAGGAGAAACAGTTCACAGCGGGTAGAAGGTGGCAAAGCAACAAGGGGCAACTACAGCTCTTTCCATCCCTCAAATCTTATCCAGGATATTTAGGACAGGTAGCATTCACATCCTTAATCCTAGTCCCCTACTACATTGCACCATGAATCAGTCCCAGCATCATATACTCTAGATCCAGCCACTTTTGAAAAAGTGCCCCCCCACTGCGTGCAACTTTGTGGGGACACCCAGACACAAGTCATACAGTCACTTTTTATACAAGAACAAGTATGTGGGAGCACTCTTCAGCTTACCTTTAAGGCTGAGGTAACTGCTAACACTGCCTGACGAAAAATTACAAAAGGGAAGATAGGAAATTTCAGCAGCAGAAATCCCAGAAGGACCACAGCAGGATGGGCTAAGCAATGCCTAATGAGGAGGATGCATCAGGAGCAAGGGTACTTGAACTTCAGGCTGAACAGCAATTGTTAGTTCATTAACACATTCACACTGGGGCCATAATTCTTATGCCTTTCTGTCAGGTTGCTTGAACCATGCACAACTGTCCCATTGGGCAGCTTTTTACAATTTTATTAGTAAAAAAGCTGATAAATGTGATTAGATCTATTTGTGCCACCAGTGGTACAAGCTGCCCAATGGAACAGTCATGTGTATACCACTGGTGGTTCAAGTCAGTGGGAATGTGTGAAATGCAGTAAGTTTGATACAATCCATTATTCTTGATAAAAACTGTCAGCAAACTAGGAAATAGAAGTAGAGAGTAACTACCAAAAAACCTGAACTATTTTATAGATAGGGCCATATAAATAGTACCCCAGGCTTCTGTAAGTTAATGTTTAGAATTATTAAAAATAAAGAGTATCAAATCAATTGTATTTTAATGTACAAAACCAGTAAAATACAGAAAAAGATGCCTGCAGTGGCATTAGCAATTACATGCTTAAGAAAAGTCACACAAGCTGAGTATAAGCCCTCTGATGTTTACGAACGCGATTACTGACAGACAATAAAATAGCCTGTGTATGTGAGAGATCCCTCTATGGATTAGGGGACTTCACAAAACTTGCAGTTGGCCACACATGCAATGTAATTGCAGCCAAAATCCTAAGTTTTTGTGGAATTGGTTAAGTCGATTCCAAAATATACAAAAAAGAGGCAGAATAGTCATGGAACAACAAAACGAATGGGTTTGCCCCTCCAGACAGTAGTGTGTAGTGAACGACACATTGCCTTGGTGCTGCTGGAGTGGGCAGCTGTATAGACCAGCAGAACACAGTATGAGAAACAAGCCCAAGGATATGGATTGGACGGATTGGACACACCGCTGGTGGCCCTGCAGCTCTGTGGTGTAGAAACAGTCTTTTCAGTGCAGGCTGTCCACCCAGAAGTTTCCCAGGTTTCTCCACTTAACCATACAGAAGTCAGTTCCAGATGCATGAAAATTCTAGACATGATGTGCACAACTCGGAAGCTCTGAGAACGTAATATACAAGAGTCTTACTGATCTCAGGGTAGAAAGAATTCCTTAAATAGGCCATAAAAGGTGTTTACTATAAAGGAAAGACTCATATATTCAGCTTTAACTAAAGTGTGTAACTGGTCAACAAAAGATACCACGAAGATAAAGACATGCCACAAATTGGGAAGACACCCAATGCTGCATACCCAGAATACATAGAGAACTACAGCTGGAAAGAAAATAGATCACAAGTACTGTACAGAAGGAAAAATCTGAATGGTCAATTAATAAATATATGCAGCCTCTTTAGTATCAGAAATGTAAGGCAGGTGCACACATGTAATCCCAGGGCACTAAGAGGCTAAGGCAAGAGGACTGCAACTTTCAGCTGGCACAACTTGAGACTTAGACCCCATTTCAAAATAAATAACAGGGCTGGGGAAATAGCTCACTTTGAAGGCCACAGTACTTAAAAAAAAAAGCAAACTAAAATCACACAGATGCGATTATACCATCAGCTTGGCAAGAACAAACCTGTCTGGTACACTCAGCCCTTGCTACTGCAAGAGTGGAGACGCAGTCACCATGTGGGATGTAGGTTGGTAAAAGAGGTCGGAAGATTGGTCAGCATCCTCTGCTGAGGCTGGAGGTGTGTGGCCCTCTCACAGCATTGGACCCCCTGCTATAGACCTTAGAATTTCACACGCCATGTGATGAGATGCTCACCTGTCCACGGCAGCATGGTTCACAGTAGGAAAAGCTGGAAAGGTTTATCAGTGGAACTGTGGATCACTCAGGTATAAGGGGTGGTCAAAAACAGCAAATGTTAAATCTTAAAAATTACAGGGCCGGGGATTTAGCTCAGCAGTTCGGTGGCCTGCCTTGCAAGCGCAAGGACCCAAGTTCAATCACCGGTACAAAAAAAAAAAAAAAAAAAAAAAA